TAGAATTAAAATTTCCTCCAGTTTTCTGTTACAGTTGTAGAGTTTATTTGCTTTTTAAAAAAGCAGTTGGTATTGTATAAGGGAGGTCAAGGGAGGAAATTTGAGAGGGAGAAACTGTGATTCATCAGGCTACCATTGCCCTCCTATTACAATTAGCCTTGGTTTTTTTTGCTCAATTTTTGATAGAGATCAAGAAAAGGCAAAGTATAGCTCATTTTGGTGTTACCTGCTCATTGAAGATTCTTTTGCTAAGAGGCAAGCAACAACATTGAATAAGGCTTTTGTGGGACTTGTGTTCTAGCACAAGGAAGATAGGCAAGGGACAGCATTCCTAGCCTGGTTCCCTAAGGTCATGATGAGTACAGCTTATGTATACAAAAAGGCAGGCTTGTTCAAGTACACAGTCAGCTATCACACATGATTCCAGGATTTCCACACAACTTGTCAATTCTTTGTTCTCAGTCCTGGGGCTTGCATTTGACAGGTGKTYTGCTTTCTGTGCGTGACATACAAAAGATGGTAGAGGTGCTTACTCCTGCCACCCCAGAAAGGCTATATTTTCAGTCATATTCAGGCATATTGCACATGCAGGGGTTTGCGGGAACACTTTGGGGAGCAGTTAGCAGCTGCTGAACCTGGTTGGTATAGAGGATGGTAGAAACAATTTTTGGAAGATGGCTTGTAAGGAACTCAGARCCCTGCCTTTTCTGTCTTACTCCTATGCAATGCAACCTCCAGTTATGAAGCCTGCCTTTTCCAGTGGGCATAGTCCTACTGTGCACTATTTCCTGTGGTTGGTTTCTAACAAAACTGTTACTTCCTGTGGATACTGCCATTGCTTGGTGCACAAAAATTAATTTTTTTCTTTTTTTAAATGAAGATGCCAACTAGGTTGAAAAACCTTAGACTAAACTCTGGGATTTCTGTATACACACACTGTTGTAGACAAATACACAAGACTACATCTGTGCTTGCCAATGGAGTCAGGCAGCCTTTGTCTGACTTTCTGTCTTCTAAATCTCTCATAAATTRGTAGACTTAAATCATCTGAAACTGTATTGCACAGTTTCTGGGAAATGTCCCCCCCCACCTTTAATACTGGAAGATAATATATTGAGGTAGATATTGAATGCCAGTGTACCATATCAGCCATATTATTTGATTTTAAAAGTGAAGATTTTCTTGCTTTTTTTGTGTGTGAAAAAACTTTCTTAAAGGAAAACTTTAAAAGCATTTGTCATTAAAAATTTACTTAGCACCTACAGTATGTTGGCACTGTTCTAAGGCACTTGAGAGGAATTTAGTGAGCAAAAACAGATCTGTCCTCTGATATGGCTTAAATTCTAGGGAAGAGAGATAACAATATATATTGCTAAGTACTCTAGCTTACAGGATGATTAAAAAGAGTCAAGCAGTAATCAATGAACTACCAGATATTAAGTCATATCTAGTATGGATATGATGGTTATATGAAGATTTGGATTTCTACTACTTTTTTCTTAAAACCTTCAGGAAATAAAGGAGTTGATTGTGGTTGTTTTTGTAGCCTTTGGGGGTGATAAACTGCTAAGGTTTCTGGGGTGAGTTAGATGACAAATTGGTATATGTGGTATGATGGCAAGTATATTRTACATTGTAAATTTATAAAAAGAAATTGTTCTCTTTAAAATTGGGTTTGACACATGTTCATATATAACCAGTCAATAATAACAATTTTCCATATTGTTATTAAAATATGGAATATTTGGCTATTAAAACAAAATTCTATAAGCTAGGTAGCTTATAAACAAAATAATTTTTTTTCCTGCCACAGTTCTGGAGGCTGGGTAGTCCATGATAAAGGCAATTAGTAGATTCTGTATCTGGTGGGGGCCTGTTTCCTGCTTCATGGATTTCTCCCTCCCACTTTGTTCTCACATGGTAGGTGGAAGGTGCAAGCAAGATCTCAGGAATTTGTTTTATAAGTACAATACCTTTTCTGAGAGCTGTACCCTGATGATCTAATTACCTCCCAAAGGCYCTTTCCCCTCATGCTTTTGGTTAAGATGTCAATATATGTATTTTGTTTTTGGAGGGGGGAGTGAGGACACTGGTATTCAGACCTTAACAAAAATTTTCAGCTATTTTTGAATCTTCCCACACTAGAAGGCAATAACTGCTCTGGAAGAAGACAAAGTAGGCAAGAGATGATGGGTATATGAAAGTCTAGTGGTGGTTTACAATATTAAATAGGATGCTTGGGATAGGCCCTATTGAAAAGGTGATATTTGAGTAGGGAAGTGATAGGAGTTGRTCATTGGGCTGTCTGATAGAAGAACATTCCAGGCCAAAGGAATAGGTTGAGCAAAGGCACTAAGGTGAGAGTGARTCTGGCATACTGGAGGAAAGCCAGGAAGCCTGTCCATAGAATGAATGAGTGGAATTATAGGTAAGCATGAGGTCTGGGAGGTATGGGGTGCCCACTGAAATAGCATTATAGGGCTTTGAGCAGAGTAATGACAAGATTTCCACCTAAGATTTTTAAWAGGGTCACATAGAATGTTTTGTTGAAAATAAACCGTAGGGTACCAAAGGTAGAGGGAGACTAATGAAAACTGTGAGTGATCAGATTTTGGATATATGAAAGTAAAATGATCAAGACTTCATGACRGATTGGATATGGGTTATAAAACAGGAGACAAGGATGAAGCCAAGGTTTTGAGCAGTTTAACAAATGCAGAATTATCTTTTAATCAGATGAAGGAAGCTAGGGTATGGTACACTTTGAAGGGAATATTSAGATCAGTGATTTGTTAAGTGTGTGATATTATTAGAGATCAAGTGCATATGTTTGAGAGCAGTCATAAAACTAGATGTGCAAGTAATAGACTGTGATTAGAAGAGGGTAAGATAGAACTGACTCCTGGTTTTTCTAGGAAAGGCAACTTATAAATTTCTAGTGAGGTAGGCAGAAAACAGTAAGGCCCAATGAAGAAAATATTTCAATGGAGAGGGCATAGTATCAAATGCTGCTGAAAGGAKAGTAAGATGACTAGTAAATGGCAGTTGGATTTAGTGACATATAGGTCATTGTTACTAACAAGAGCAGTGTTGATGAAGTGGAGAGGGGAAAGCTTGATTGAAATGTGTATAAGAGAGAACCRAAAGAGGAGGACCTGACAATGTGTAAAGAATTTGCTGCTTTCAGGAGGAAAGGGATAGTAGCTAGATTGAAGAATGGGAGCATGAGAGGTTTTTCCCCCATAAGACCCAGAAATAACAGCATGATTTTATGATTATAGAAGTGACCCAATAAAGGGGAAAAGGTAGATTATACCTAAATTCCATTGTCAGTTATTCTCCTTGGAGAACACATTCAGCTTCTTTGCCCTTTCTCACTTTGTCATACTTGTTTGGCAAAGCTACAAACTTGGTGAAATCCAGCACTTYTGCTTCTAAGTACCTGCTCTTTTTGTTACCCCATCCTGAAATTAACACAAACTTTCACAACAGAAAGTTTTTCTTTTCTTGAAGTGTTTTGGCTTCAGGCTTCAGCAATAAAAAGCAGAGTATAAGCACTACACTGGCTTTGTTCTAGGGTGTAAGGCTCAGTGCTGGCCTTTTCCTGTAATAATTTTAAGTTTCAGAAAACAGGATTCTTTAAGGTGATCATTCCAAGATTATTTGTCAGAGTCAGATGCCTGCTTATTGATCATTTTCCATGATGGTGGGGCATGAAGAGATTGAGGAGGTAGGATGATATTCTCAGCAGTCAGTTTTGGCATTTCTGAGTCTCCGGGTTCTTAGTTTCCTGGGTTCTTCTGGGCAGAGTTCCCATTACCCCTTTCCCCTTAGATTCCTTTCTTGTTGCTGTGGCCTTGAACATAACTTTTTTTCTTTACTATCTATTTTAATCCAATTTCAGGAAGGAGAGGAGAGTAATGCCCGTGGTTAAGCATTTTATTATGAATTGCAAGTTTGAATCATTTAACTGTTGAAATACAGTTGACTATGATAGAATTTAGAATTCTTGTATCTTCTCAATTAAGAGAATAATTTGAAATCTGATTTTTTGTTATGTTTTGTTTTCCTTTAAATGCAGCATTACTAAATATTGTATAAATGTGATTAATTTGTTAGATTCACAGTGATTTTTTCATTTTCTAGTAATGCCACAAAATTCTGCTTCAGTAAGCATTGGTATATAAAATTAAACATTTAGGATATTTTTAGGTGAATAGTTGCAAYATAAATCTGAAAAGTTATAAAAATTGTGTGAATCAAGATATAAGATTGTTTAAAGTCAATAATGAATGCTTGCCAAAGATGAAAACTATTGAAAATGTGCAGTAAGTACATTAAATAAGATAATATTAGAGAAGTTTTTTTACTCTGTCTAAACAAGTTATTATTAATTTAAAAAGTTTTCTTATAAAGAGATAACCACACATATTTACAGCTTAGGGCTACTCTTTGAATAGTGGCCAATAAGTATACTAGTCATAGGGTGCTGTGATTGGTTTGAGGACTTTAAGGAGGAATTTAGAAAAAATGATGATTTGAACTGTCTCAAAAAGAATCTTTACACTGTGATCATAAACAGTTATGCTTGGTTTCTCCTTTCTTTCTTTTTTTTTTTTTTTGGTACTAGGGATTGAACCCAGGGATACTAAATCACTAAGCTATGTCCCCAGCTTAGTGTCTCCCTAAATTGGTGAGTCTGGCCTTGAACTTGCAATCCTCCTGTCTTAGCTCCTGGGAGCCTACACCACTGCACCCAATGGTTTCTGCTTTTTTTGTGACTTCATGATTTGGATTATGTTTTCCTCATTGATTTTAGATATTTTAGTRGTCACACATTGTACCCTGAAGTGATCTGGCCAGAATCACTCATTCTCTTTTGATTTTCAGTGTTAGATTGTCCATAGTGTAATTTTTCAGTTATATGGCTTTTATGACATCTAATGTATGGAAAACATAATTGTTTAAGTATTTAATATCATTTAACATTTTTCTTGTAGATTATCTGCAATGGTGAAATGAAGTAACTCAAGATGAGCAAGTTGAAAGTGATACCYGAGAAAAGGTACTGTAGTTTTGAATATTAGTATGTTTAAATTACAGAACTAATACACAACACAATTACTTGAAACCAAATACTTCATAAAATATTCAAGTAGTAGTATATTATTTTTGTATTTTATTGATATTCTTTAGTTGAAGTACGATTCAGCAAACAACCAATGGGTCAAATCTGGCCCACCTTCAGTTTTTGTAYGGTCGATGGTCTAAGAATAGTTTTTACATTTTTAAATGGTTAAAAAAATTAAAAAAAAAATAGTATTTTGGGACATGAAATTATAAGAAAATTGATTTTCAGTGTATATAAAGTTTTATTGGAACACAGCTCTACCCTTTCATTAACATTGTCTGCGGCTTCTTTTGTACTGTGATTGCCAAGTTGAGTAGTTTTGACATACTATAGCCCACAATGCCTAAAATATATGCTGAGTGGCCCATTATAGAAAAAGTTTAACTGACCTCTGAGTTAAAGTACATTATATTCTTTCTGTTGGACATGTTTCTTTCAGTTAAAAGTTAGTGAAATGTGATTGATTCTGTATTGGAATTTTCTTAAAAAATTTTTTGTTTTTAGTTATAGATGGACACAATATCTTTGTTTATTTTTTATGTGGTGCTGAGGATTGAACTCAATGCCTCACGCCTGCAAGGCAAGCAATCAACCACTGAGCCACAACCCTAACCCTGTATTGGAATTTTCTTAATATACAGTTTTGAATGGAATTGCTTACCTCTGTTATTGTCTTAATTTTCTCATCTGTGAAATTATTTTAATGATAGTGCTATTTTTTAAAAGTACCTTTATTTATTTATTTTTATGTGGTGCTGAGGCTCAAACCCAGTRCCTCGCATATGCTAGGTGAGCGCTCTACCACTGAGCCCCAAYCCCAGTCCCTGATAGTGCTATTTTAATATTGTGAAGATTAACTAGTACCTGACTGGTTCAGTCAATTATAGTCTATTAATATTGATAATAAAATTTTCTGCTTTGTTAGTAGYGTTGTATTTTATGTTTACATATCTGCAACTTTGCATTTATAGGTATTCTTTAATYCTGAGTAATATACATGCAGTTTATTTAGATAAGTTTTGTTCCTTAAATTGCTAGGTTTTCTATTTATTAACTATGTAAGATGTAAGATATCATAGCAAATTATGTTGTTCATATTCTTGTATAGTTTCTTGTATAATTTCTATAGGAAAGAAACTAGGCATTTTGTGTGTGGGGTGTGGGGTGTATGTGTGTGTGTGTGTGTGTGTGTGTGTGTGTGTGTGTTTTAAAAAGGAATACCAGCCTTTTTCAGTTGGGTTAAATAAGTAAGATATTTCTACTGATAGCTAAACTATCTAGTTACTAGAACATAGTAAAAATGTAAAGTCACTTGAAAGTTTGAAAACCTCTGTCTCCTAAGTTCAGTTTTTTCCCCCTTCATGAAATGATATTCACTGGATATTTATTGTTATTTTTGTTGTTGTTTTAGGCTGTCTAAATTGGGATCACTATAAATGATCTTCATCTAAAGGAAATTATAATTTCTGGTAATACTTGTCATATTGCTCTGTGAAGAAAGCTGAATGCAATAAGGTGAATTATGATAGAAAGGGGTCAAAATCTTTCTTCTCCCATTTTATAGTATAGTTGGCCCTCTGTAGCCACTATACTGCATCTGTATATTCAATTAACTGTGGATTAAAAATATTTGAAAAATAAATTGTGTCTGTACTGAACTTGTACAGACTTTTTTCTTGTTATTCCTCAAATAATATAGTTAAACAGCTCTTTACATAGCATTTACATTGCATTAGGTATTATATGTAATCTAGAGATGATTTAAGATATACCAGAGGATGCAAATCTTGTGCCGCTTTATTTAAGACAGTTGAATATCCATGGGTCTTAGTATCTGCAGGGATCCTGGAACTCTCCCTYTCCTCCCTGCCCCCAGGCATGAGGGATGATTGTATAGTATATTGAGACTATTTGAGGATTTATATAAATATCTTCCATAGCTCTGAATACAGGAATTGTTCTGAATTATTATTATTATTTTTTTTTAATATTTATTTATTTATTTTTTTGGTGGACACAACATCGTTGTTGGTATGTGGTGCTGAGGATCGAACCCGGGCCGCACGCATGCCAGGCGAGCGTGCTACCACTTGAGCCACATCCCCAGCCCCTCTGAATTATTTTTCATTCATCAAACTTGATCAAAGCCGTACCAGTTTCCACAGAAAATTTATTGTGTATATTTATTTCCATGTCTCCAGAGGCTTTCTATTGATACTTTCATTTTTCTTTTGTCCCCTTTTCAATCTGTTTCTCCATCATGAGTTAGCTGTTCAATACTTTTATCTAACTTGGTAGGTAATAAATCTGTGAGAGTAGAAAAGAAACACAAATGTAACACTTAATACGATGATTTGAAGAAAATGGAAGTTGAGTGTATTCTTAAAAAGATCCCTATTCTTTGTTTACACAAAGCTCATAAACTGATTAAAGAACAAATGCAGTATGGTGACTTATTCACTTCATGGTGAAGTATTAAATTACAGGTACATAAAATTAGAAAATAAGGTACACCTAAGTAGGTGTTTATTGTGTAATACAGACTTAAAGAGGCAAGCCTGAGTTGAAACTTTCTTTATAGAAAATCTGGAGAAGTGGTGGAATATTCAGACTTGTTTAATTTAAACAAAGTTTGCTGTTGGATTCATTTGATTTGTAAATTTAAAGACCATATTGGCTGGGGGATGGGGTTGTGGAGGACGTGCCACGCCCTGGGTTTGATCCTCAGCACCAATAAAAATAAATAAATAAAGATACTGTGTCCAACTATAACTAAAAAATAAATATGTTTTWAAAAAAGACCATATTGGCTGGGTGTGGTGGCATGTACTTGTAATCCAGTGGCTTTGAAGGATGAGACAGGAAGATTGTAAGTTCAAAGCCAGCCTCAGCAACTTAGGCCTGGAGCAACTTTGTGAGACCGTATCTCAATATAAAATACAAAAAAGGGTTGAGGATGTGGTTCAGTGGTTAAGTGCCTCTTGGTTCAATCCCTAGTACCRGGAGCGGGGAGCCATATTAGTAGTCGTTAATTTAAATTAAATAAGCAAAACTTGTAAAATACAAGAAGTACAGGTTTTCTGTACACACCAATCTTCATTGTCATGGTCATGCTTAAATCTTATCACCAGAAAAATCCTCATTCAGAATACTGATTCAGTTTCTTCCACAACTGCAATCTTTTATTTTTTCAGTTTCTCTGCTAAAATATCTATACTGCAGGATTTCTACCTATCTTAGAGCTGTAATATGTGGATTTTATTTCTCTCATTCATCTCCTTCTGTCTTATCTGCTGTAGAATCTAATGTCCACTTTTACAGGTACCTGAAATGTTTCACCTCAGTTTGTATTTTTCCATTACCCTCACCTGACAAAGTCCTTACTGTGGATAACCTTGATTGAGCAGCCAAACGAAATTTGAGGATGAACAAGCTTTTTGGCAGGTATCATTAAAATTATTGATCAACTTGAACCAAGCCCTAATAGTCTTATTACTGTGCTTTGGAAAGTGTGTTTCCCCAGTTTTTGTACTAATTTATACTTTATATCCTTCAAACCTTTGAAATTCTCAAGTGTATCACATATATATCCTGAGCAAATGACCTTTTCTCATATATCCTAGAGATAATACAATGCTTTACCTTCACATTTCTTGCATTGTACTTATATACTCATTGTATTTATTTATATACTTGCATTGTATTTATTTGATCTCATTCTCTGCTTAACCCACCTGTTATTTACTATTCCAGAGAATGTGCCCCTTTTCTTGTTAAAAAGCAATACTGTTATCTGTGTTCTAACTCTTTTTACTTTTTCTTTTTGGTGTCGAGGATTGAACCTAGAGACAGTTTACCGTTGAACCACATCTCCAGCCCTTTTTATTTTATTTTTTTAAAATTTTGAGATGAGTGGCTGGAGTTGTGGCTCAGTGGTAGAGCGCTTGCTTAGCATGAGTGAGGCACTGGATTCAGTYCTCAGCACCACATAAAAATAAATAAAGTAAAGCCATTGTGTTCATATGCAAGAAAAAAATATCTAAAAAATTTCTTTTAGATGATTTCACTAAGGGCCTTGCTAAGTTGCTGAGTTTTGCCTTGAACTTGTGATCCTCCTGCTTCAGCCTCCTGAATTGCTGGGATTATAGGCATGCGCCACCATGCCTGGCTTAAATCTGTTAACTCTTTTTTTTTTTTTTTTTTTTTTAATGTAATGCTGAGGATTGAGTCCAGTGCCTCACACATGCTAGATAAGTGCTCTATCACTGAGCTACAGGCCCAGCTCCGAATCTGTTAACTCTTATTTCGTACCATTTTAACCTAATCTGGGCTTTGCAATATTTAGATTCTGTGCTTTTGTTACTATCTGATTTACCTGATTCCTTTAAAAGCCAGGAATTATGGGATAGTCTATAAATACAATCTAAATCTCCTTTAGTACTCCCCTAGATTCCTTTTTAGAGTTTACTCTGTTCACTTCACTGTTATTTCTTATTTGGCCATTTATAATTTCAAAACGTTTTATTGATATATAATCAACATACTGCTATATACATAAATTTAGTATATACAGTTTAATACATTTTATCTTTACACACTTTGACATATATTACATATGACCTATGTTATATACCTGTGAAACCATCTTCTCAATCAATATAATAATCAGCATATCCAGATGTTTTCTGGTGTTCTTTTGTATTCCTTCACTTTCACCCTCTCTCTCACTCGAGGCATCTCACTCATCTGCTCTCTGTCACTACAGGGTTTTTGCTTTTCTAGAATTTTAATTTTTTCCCCCTGGTTCTGAGGGTTGAATCCAGGGCCTTGTACCCTACCATTGAGCTATATTCCTAGTTCTACTTTTCTAGAATTTTRAATACACGAAGCCACACAGTATATCTTTTGTGGGGGTTGTTAGGTTAGAAGGTGGT